TAAAGGTTTTTAAAGCGTCGCCTATGGAGAATTTTAAGTAGTGTAGTTTAGCACCATTTCACGGCTGTGCGCAATTTTAAAGCATAATGCAACGTAACATCATCTTTCACATTTTACAAAAAAAATTGGGTTATATATAATGGGTTTTTTATCTAATTTATTAAAGTGTATTTTTTCCCCAAAATTGCACTTGAAAAACTGCTGTGCAAATACTGCGTGACATAAAAATTGCATCACTATTTTATTCTCTAGGTCTCTGCTAAATATATATATATATCTATATATATATATATATATATATATATATATATATATATATATATAAAATGTTTGGAGGTTCTAAGTAATTTTCTAGCAAAAAAAAAGCAGAATTTCAGTTGATACCAATAATATGATGGTGTCAATAGGGGAAATGGTGCTCCATCAGTGGTGTCAATTGGTGGAATAGTTCCCCAAGGGTCAGGGCAAGCAAAGGGCCACATGTTTAAAAAGTGCCAGAAAATGCTTGCTCCTTAAGTTTAAGGCCTCATGTACATTTGAGCTCCTCTAGATCAGTGGTCTCCAAAGTGCAACCCGGGGGCCAGATGTGGCCCTTTGCTTGCCCTGACCCTTGGGGAACTATTCCACCAATTGACACCACTGATGGAGCACCATTCCCCCTATTGACACCATCATGTTATTGATATCAACAATGTGGAACTATTTCTCCCATTATAGCCAATGATGGGGTAATGATGGGGCACTTTCTACTTTCATTGGCCACAGTCTGGCCCCCAAAAGCCTGAAGGACTGCAAACTGGCCCTTTACTTCAAACGTTTGGAGACCCCTGTTCTAGATGTTTAGCTCTGGCAGAAACGCTAAATGCGGCTAAAATGCATATAAACCATGTCTTCCTGGATTAAGCGCTTGGATGTTTATTCATTTGATTGGCCACAGTATTTTCAATTGACATGAATGAACGCTCAAGCGGATAGTGTTTAGAAGTGTTTACACGTTTTGACGCATTTATCCTTTTTTGGCCAAAACGTTCCTCTCCTGAAAGCAGAAGAATCGCATTAAGTAAAGGAACGTTTAACTGCCCCTAAACTCTGCTGCTCCTAAACTCTGGTAAAAGTCTATGTGTACCTGGACCCAGTTCAGGGGCTTTGGCAAAAAAAAAAAAAAAAAAAAAACGCCAAAAGCTCCTAAACTTACATGTAGGCGCAGCAGTGTACATGTGGCCTAAGGAGCGGTGGGCTCCCTCCAGGAATACCTGCCCTCAATCTATCCACTACTATACATGCTCCAACTTGGGAGACTCTAAAAATTATAGAGGTAGGACTGCAGTATACAGAGGTGCCTTGACGTAGGCACTGCAGCTTACACATATTTGCAAATGTGTGCAGACAAAACCCTACGTTTTTAAACATGAATTGCTAGACAATTGGGTCAATTTGGTTATTTTGCAGGCCGGCTGGTAAGTGTGCTGGGAAATCTTTGTTTGTAATGTGCATTACCCTTACACATGCACCTTTCTTCAAAGGCTGATTATAGGTTGGGGTGGTTGCCAATCTTTTGTACAGTTGTACAGAACGTCCCCAGAAACATCATTGTAGGATTGGCACACTGGTTTTCCCAGAAGTCTTCACTAAAATACAAGTTAAATTTTAGGCATCCTCTTCAAGAGAAATTTCAGTTTTAATGAGATACTCTCCAAAGGATTAAACACTTCTAAAGGGATGCCAACCCTGCAACCTTCCTCATTAGAACAATGAGAGTGCACCAGCTGATTACAGTGACCCACACCCTCCCATTCAGAATTAGACTGGCCATACACTACACTATAATTTTCTTGAGAATTTTGCTTTAGGATTTACCAAAAACCATATAATATGAGTATCACGTACCTGGTGATGGAGGCCAATGGAGAGAGGGCTTCCCTTGAGGTTAAGTTCCCTGAGAGTGGGACAGCGGGAGTCAGGTCCAAAGTTGCACAGGTTGCCTGTAGGAGGTTGGTGGTCCACTCAGAAGCGCAGCTGGTGCACAGAGATAGGTCTGCAGACAGGAGGCGCCTGTGCACGGTATGCAAGCCCTTCTGGGATTTGGATGTTTACTAGGTAGTCAGTTCAAGCCAAGGTCAGGTACCAGGTGGGAATCAGAGCAGACGTAGTCAGATGGGATAGCCGAGGTCATTCACAGAGGAGCGAGAGAGAGAGAGTATCCATAAGCCAAGCCAAGTTCAGATCAGGGGAAAATAAGAGTAGACAAGTCCAGGAGCAAGCCATGTCGGTAACAGGAAATCACAAGTCAGAACCACAGGAACCGGGCACAGGGAGCTAGAGATCATCCAGCAACCAGAGAAAGTGATAAGCCTCCTTATAAAGGCCGTCTGGCACCAGACTGAGGCTGATGTGTCCTTCTGCGGCCATGTAGAGTATTGGCAGAAACGCCAGGTCTTCCAGAACTCCTGCCGTGGACAGGACCCTGACAATGAGGTCAAACCTAAACAACACTTTCAATTGTATCCAATTAGGAGAGCCCTTGCACTACATAGTTGAAAGTAAATCTAAAGAAAATTGGACAGAAAATTGTAAGAAAATTGTATAGTGTATGGCCAGCCTTATGCAGGCCATACATGGGTTGAATTCCGAATGATTTTTCGGCCGAAAATCGAAAAAAACGTCAGTTGCTTGGTAATCCGATGGTGCCATCAATGATTTCGAAAATCAACCGACCAAGTCATAAAGTTCACCCAATATAACAGGCAAAACTTCTGTTCCTTCCAGGTCATGACTCATGCTCATATTCTTTTCGGAAAAACGATCATACAATTTGACCATCATTGAGTCAAACATCGGTCGTTTTTCACGAATTTTCCAACATGCCTGATCACCGATAAGGGGAGGAACCATGAAAATCGGCTGGTGCCATTGACCCACTCCAAAGAACAAAAGGTATACCGCTCAGGCAAACAATCCAGATCAATCCATGACAGGTGTAGGCTTTGGTTACCACCACACAGGACGCAACTGGAAGAAGGGTCAGCAGCACACCGGAGGATAGATGAATGTAGTGTGTATTTATTGATCCATAGGACACACAAAACACCAGGACATGGACATACAAAATACCAGGACTTGTTAACGCGTTTCACACGATCTCGTGCTTAATCATAACAAAGAAAACAACAAAAGTGCTGTGTTATATAGGTATTAGTTAATAAAGAACACCGTCTTAATCAGCACTCCTGAATCCTGAGGGTACGCCTACTAATACATTGTAACAAGACATATAAAACCATTGTATCAAAAGTAGTGATCTCAAAGAACAACAAAAAAGGAAGAAAAGAAAAATAAAGTAAAATAAAATAAAAAGATAAACAAAGAAAGAGAAAAAGAAAAAAATGGATAAAAATAATTGTGAAAAAATAATTATGAAAAAATTATAAAATTATAAAAAAAAAGTTATAATAATGATTTTTTCTCAATTATTTTTATCCATTTTTTCTTTTTCTCTTTCTTTGTTTCTCTTTTTATTTTATTTTACTTCATTTTTCTTTTCTTCCTTTTTTGTTGTTCTTTGAGATCACTACTTTTGATACAATGGTTTTATACAGTATGTCTTGTTACAATGTATTAGTAGGCGTACCCTCAGGATTCAGGAGTGCTGATTAGGACGGTGTTCTTTATTAACTAATACCTATATAACACAGCACTTTTGTTGTTTTCTTTGCTATGATTAACCTCCCTAGCAGTCTGATTATTTCAGATTTTTGGTGCTGAAAGCGGTACCATTATTTTGCATGGAAATTTGGTGTTTTATATTGTAGGCTGTAATTTTTAGGAATAACTCACTGAAATCTGTCCAAACAAGAGTCTAGTAAACATCCCGGGTATGTTAAAATTTGAAACACGAAATCATAAATTATAATTTAACAAATAATCATAAAAAATAATAATATAATAATAATAAATTTAATTCAATAATATAATCAAACCAAAAACACTGAAATTTGAAATAGAGCGCCAAGTTTGCACATCACTGAGCAAAGTCGCAAAATCGTTTTCAGTGTCTGATGACGAATTTCCCCCACGAATCATCACTCAATTCTGCAAGTGGTTCTGATTTACTATCGCTGTTCTCTAGCCGGTCTAAAACCGCTTTTGACCTAAAGGGACGCTTTTTGGACGCCATGGACGTTTCTCAGTTTCCAGGCAGAAAGAACAGTAAAAATGCAGGAAGGGCGCAGGACAAAGCACTCGGGACAAAATGTATGTGAAATGGTTTGATACAGGAATGTTTTACTATAAGATTTTAGTGAATGTCACTTTTTGTCATTTTCAAATTTCCCGCTGTTCCATCCCCCGTACGTCCCGACACTCGCAGGGGACAGAACCCAGATGACAGATGCCGGCATCCGCCGGATTACATTGCTGGGGACACTGCAGGGGGGACATCGCAGGAGCGCAGGACAAGGTAAGTAATCGAGGGATCCCAGAACAGCGCTGCAGTGTATTCCCGAGTGTAGCTCGGGGTTACCGCTTGTGGTACTGAAACTTTACCCCGAGCTACACTCAGGAATACCGCCAGGGAGGTTAAGCACGAGATCGTGTGAAACGCATTAACAAGTCCTGTATTCATGTCCTGGTGTTTTGTGTGTCCTATGGATCAATAAATACACACTATATTCATCTATCCTCCAGTGTGCGGCTGACCCTTCTTCCTGTTGTGCCAATGACCCACTAACAGAACGAAAATCGGCTGATTATTCTTAGGTCCGATTTTCGGACAAAAAATCAGTCGAATTTGGACCCTTGTATGGCCAGCCTTAGTCTGCAAAGGACATGGTGAAACATACAGGTATTTCTTCACAGCATGGTGGTGCATCTTAGGCTGAACGTTCAACCACACGTCATTTCCATACGTTATGGATACAAGGACACTTTTGACTGCATACCATCAATTTTCCTTTTTATTGCAGCTTTTTTTTTATCTCAGTCTTTCTTCTCTTTTCTCTCAGATGAATGTTTTTAAATGCACGGAGCCGGTCCAGCCCCAGGCCAAGCTCTGCTTCCCTCACATCATCTCCTCCAAGCAGACATCTCCGGAGATTGTTAATTGCAAAGATCGCTCTTTGATGGCGGCGGGAAGCGATGAGATGGATGCAAATGAGGCTGCAGAAAACTCAACACTGACGGCTATTTCAGGAGCGCTGATATCAGGTAAAGATTAATAAGGTCCCTTAAAGCTGAACTTCATGCACAAAAACTTCCATTTCTATACAGTATATTCCTCAATAGTTACAATGGAAATAATGCCTTTACAAACTCAGATTTTACCTTGTAAAAGTAGCAGTGACATCATCACTGTGCTGTACATAGCCTGTGCAGACAGTAGAGCTGTGGGAGGGACCCAGAAGGCTCCACCCACTACAGGCTGCCTACAGAAATTAGAGGAGTGGGCAGAGACAAGACCAGTCCACCTGCAAAAGGAGAGAGAGCAGCAGAGACCGTCTTTATTACAGAGGGAAAGTCTCACACTGGATTACTGCACAGATCTGAAAGAAATACACAAAGTGCACCAAGATTCATGGAAGAATACATGACATGTATGTACTTAACCTTGCCCTAAAGAGGATTTACCCCCCTTCCTGACCAGGCCATTTTTTGCAATACGGCGCTGCGTTACTTTAACTGACAATTGCGCGGTCATGCAACACTGCACCCAAATGAAATATACGTCCTTTAACAGCTTCCCAACCGCCCTATAGCAGAACTACTGCTACAGGGCAGTGGGGCTGTGTAAAATGATGTATGTATATATATATATATATATATATACACACACGATTTTGCATTTCCTGGTAGAGGGCGCACGCCGTCATTGCTGCTACAGCTGTAGATCACTGGGTCCCGGACAGAGATTCCCCACCGGCACCTGGCGATCGCTAAGGAACAGTGAAAGGAAAGAGGTCTGTGTGTAAATAACCCACAGCAGAACAATACAAAGCAGTATCTTTCCCTAGGAAGGAAAGAAGGAAGACAGGAGGGAAGGAAGTAGGAGAAGGGAGGGAAGAAGGGGGGGGAAGAAAGAAGATGGGAGGAAAGGAGGGAAGGAAAGAAGGAAGAAGGGAGGGAGGGAGGAAGGAAGGAAGGAAGGGAGAGAGGAAGGAAGGGAGGGAGAGAGGAAGAAAGGAAGGGAGGGAGGGAGGAAGGAAGGAGGAGGGAGGGAGGGAGGGAGGAAGGAAGGAAGGAGGGAGGGAAGGAGGGAGGGAGGAAGGAAGGAAGGAAGAGAGTGAGGGAGGGAGGAAGGAAGGAAGGAAGGAGGAAGGAAGGAAGAAAGGAGGGAGGGAGGAAGGATGGAAGGGAGGGAGGAAGGATGGAAGGGAGGGAGGAAGGAAGGGAGGGAGGAAGGTAGGAAGGAAAGAAGGGAGGGAAGGGAGGGAGGAAGCTTCAAGGAAGGAAGGAAGGAAGGAAGGGAGGAAGGGAGGGAGGAAGGAGGAGGGGGGGGAGGGAGGAAGGATGGAAGGGAGGGAGGAAGGATGGAAGGGAGGGAGGAGGAAGGGAGGGAGGAAGGTAGGAAGGAAAGAAGAGAGGAAGGGAGGGAGGGAGGGAGGAAGGAAGGAAGAGAGGGAGGAGGAAGGAAGGAAAGGAGAGGAAGGAAGGAAGGAAGAGAAGGAAGGAAGGAGGGAGGGAGGGGGGAGGGGGGAAGGGATGGAAGGGAGGGAGGGAGGGAGCTTCAAGGAAGGAAGGATGGAAGGAAGGTGATTTTAGATACACTGTAAAACTAAACTCTAGAAAAAAAAGAAAGTTGATTTTTATATCACAGGAACAGCTTTGATCAAAAGATCTTGTAAGTGAATCTACGAAGGAGCAATTGTTCAGTGATATGTGGATCGATACTATCAGAGTGGAAGGTCTTTTGTTATAGTGTAGTTTTATTTTGGCTGTTTTTTCCTTTTTTTCATTCTTTTTTTTATTTGGGGGGGAGGGGGAGTTAATCGCAAGACGCAAGGTTTTATTACTTTACATGAAGCTTCAAGCCTTTCCTGTTTTCAAGCACAGAGAGCTGAAAGGTGAGATGTTTGGTGCTCTTTCATGGTCCAACAAGATCAACATGTCAAGAATGATGACTGAATGCCTTGACACCCAAGTTTTCAGCAATGTATGGCCATCACCACTGCTTATAGGCCCAATGTATGTAAATCACACCTGTTTATTAGCCCTGTCCAGAATGAAGGCCAAGCATGTCTTTGTGAAGCTTTCTCCTGCTTTGGGTCATCCAAACCAAAATCAATATTTTAGTCTCCTGTAGATGGTGGATAGTTAAATTACCTAATGATTTCCTATTGTTCTTAAGAATTTTGGTGGTGAGGCCTCTATAGTTCAGCATACATTTCCTGGCCAATATGAAGGGATCCCGGTTGAACATTTAGCTTATTTTTTAAATTATAGAACACCCACGGTGGTCTGGTCAGCAACAGAAACTATTGCAGGAAGCTTTTATTGCTTGGAATTTCTGAGCTATCTTGGAAACCAACATCTTTATTTACCTCCAGCCTGAATTGGCAATGCCACTTTTGGGTGGACTGACCCTTTAATGCTCATCCAACTGGAAAAAGTCTTCTGCAAGCAGAACTATAACTTCGTTCACACATCTGCAGGTGCAACAGTCCTCTTAAGTTTTTGTGTGTTTTCGTGTGTCAATTTAGGACAGCCCATTCTATTCAATGGACTACCCTACATGCTATAGATGCACAATGATTTGCAGACACCTGTTTTGTAAATCACATTGCACTACAATGCATGTCAAGAAATTACCACTTGTTGTGGAGCAATTCTGTGCATGTGTGTTGGCTGGTGTGTTTGGGTTGCCATTAAGAATAAATGGAACCGCAGTGCACCTTTCAGAACATTGCATAAGCATGGAAGAAGCAACTCCATAAGGTGTACATTGTATCCAAATATAAAGGCAAAGAGTTCCAGAACTCCTGTTTGAGTTGAATTGCTGGAATAACTTGTTTCTTTTTTTTTGTTTCTTTTTTTTTTTTCTTTGCTGTGGAATGCATTTAGCAAGGATATTTAGACAAAAATTTCCCTTGTTTACAGGACTGATCATTTACATCGAATATTCTCTGATGTTCACCATATACAAAGACAAATGTAAAGTATAGTCATTTCATGCACTTTCATCCAGCTTTATACAGCAAAAAGATCAAATGGCCTAAAGCTAGCTATCAACTACACTACAGTATGTATTTACTGTACATGGTAGGGATTGCGGCAGGTCGCCTTCATGTATTTGATTGTTTCTGTGATCAAAAGCTGGTTGGAAGTGATTGAAACTGCTAGGAAATTGCCCGTGGGTATGGCCGGCATTATTGAGTACTTACATAATTATACTTAATGGTATAGAAAGGGGAACATATTCAGATGCAAGAGTCAAGTGTCCAGACGCTACTGCTTTTCCCTTGGTCTACATATTTACTTATATATTTTTTTATTATTTACTTATGCATTTTTTATTTACATATATTATATGTTATTATTATTGATATTATTAGTAGTAATATCATTTGTATTTATATATTATTTGTCCTCCTTTTAATTATGTACTTGTTATAGTGCAGTTTTATTTTGGTTGTTTTTTTCTTTTTTTCAGTCCATTTTTTTTTGGGGGGGGGGTGGTTGTTAGTCCTCTTTCGGTTGATAAAGGAATTGATACAAGGTAGGATATATATATATATATATATATATATATATATATATATATCTCAAAGTTCAAAATTAATAGGCATGTACACAAATGCTAGAAGTTAAGCAAAACGAAGGATCTGGAGCTGCTGATACACGAGGAGGACTTCGTGGGAATATCAGAAACTTGGTTGTGGTGGTTTCACATGATTGGTCAGCATCTATTCAGGCGTATGCCTTGTATTGGAGGGACAGGGAGGGTAGAAGAGGAGGAGAGGTTTGCCTGTATATCAAAAAATATTTGATAGTTATTATTATTATTATACAGGATTTATATAGCACCAACAATATGCTCAGCGCGCTTTATATTATAAAGGGAGACAATACAATTACAATACAGTTTAGTACAGGAGGAATAGGAGGGCCCGGCTCATGAAGCTTACATTCTAAAGGAAGGGGGAGGTGGTACAAAGGGTGATAGCTGTAGGGGATGATCTAATGGAGCTGACTCAAGTACAGTTCTTAGGTGGAGGTGGGGAAGGCTTCCCTGAATAAATGAGTTTTCAAAGATCGCCTAAAGGCAGACAGGGTGGGGGCTGACCGAACATACTGGGGTAGGGAGTTCCAGAGGATGGGAGAGGCTCTGGTGTAGTCCTTGAGGCGAGCTTGGGAGGAGGTCATGAGCTAGAGAGCAAGATGTCTTGGGAGGAGTGGAGCGGACATTTGGACGATGTCTGCGAAGTTGGCAATGTAGCTAGGGGCAGTGTTGTAGATGGCTTTGTATGTTGTGGTTAGTAATTTGAATTTTATATGTTGGGTTAGTGTTTGCCAGTGAAGGGATTGGAGGAGAGGGGCAGCAGTCGCTGATCAGTCAGTAAGGTGTATAAGTCTATGAACGTATGCTAGTGAACATAAGGGACAGCATTGCAAATGAGGCACGGAGTGAGGTGGAATCCCTGTGGGTGGAACTCCAAAAGGAAGAGACATGCTGGAAAATAATAGCGGGGGTATGATACAGGCTCCCTAACCTGAGGGATGAGGAGGAGTTGGATCTCCAATCAGTTAGAAATGGCAGCGAGGCAGGGCAATGTCATCACAATGGGGGACTTCCACTATCCAGATATTGACTGGGCAGAAGGAACAGCTCACTCATGTAAGGTTCATCATTTCTTATATGTCTTACAGGAGAACTTCATGTGCCATTTGGTGGATTCCCTGACTAGAAAGAATGCATTACTAGATCTATTAATTACAAGTGTGGGAACTCGCTTCAAATGGTAGAGTTTTTTTAAAGCACGCAGCAACTCGCTTCTTTTTTAAAGGCCTTTTTAGCCCATCTTTATTTAAAGAAAAAAGTTCCATAAAGCTTCCCACGCAGGGGTATCCACCAACCAGCACATGAAACAAAATTCAGCCTCCTGGCTCTCTCAGATAATAACAATCTTCCTCTTCAGGCTTACATCTGTCTCCTACAGACTGTTTCCGAAATGGCTTTTCCGCTAGCCATTAGCACACAGCTAGTCTGGATT